CTATTTACCCATAGCTGGAGGGAGAAGAAGAGAATTCACACCTTTCCCAAGGGTGTTAGCACGTAAGTGAATGTAATGGATTCGATTGGAATTCGAACTCGGCTCTCCATTACTCCACCGTGCCTCCTACACTATACCTGGTGGTTGTGAGTCCAGTCTTTGGGCCAGACAGAAGACTCTATTTACTTTGGTTCATTTTATAGGCTTGACGGAGTTCAAAAGCATTTTCGTAGCCTTGTGGTTGATTAATTATTTTCTACCGTACCGCTTCTCTCCCAAAGATGAAACGTTGCACTTCTCTCGCTAATCTATTGTTATTTGCAACTCAGACTTTCGTGAGAACTACATATCTTCGTTTCACAAGTCCAGATATTCGTAGCTAGGACCCGCCATACCCCGTTTACTGAGTTGATTCCCTTGGCATCCAACTGCTGAGTAGGAAATTTCACACAGATTCTTTTCAGAACTGCTCCTCAGGGGATGCTTCCGTAGAGACTACAATCTTAACCTGTTCAAGTCTAAAATCAACCGCTATCTATTCTATATATCTTCATAATAAGCACCTCTTGCTCCCACTATTGTACGCCCTTATAACACCATGACATAGCAAGACTCTCCCTTGAATGGCTCTTGGGCCTTGTATTGCATGAAGAATAATAAAAAAAATCTTGTTTTATTTGGAGTAAAAAGAGAGATGGAAAAAAGATCGAAACAATAGATTAAGATTCTTCTTCTTCTATGGGTCGTATAAGCAAAGGGTATTGGCGATCATGGCTCTCCACAATTTCCTCTAAATAAATTTTGTTTTTTTTGGTCTATTCTAACCCTGTTCTGTCATCCAATCAAAATCGTTAGTTAGCTTATGTGATGTCTTCCCATCTCTGACTCCTTCAATATTACCTGTGAGCATAAAGCCTTCTTTTCGTATTATGTACTCTAGAAATTTCAGCTGTAACTTTGTGATATTAATTATTAGTGTCCTTTTTGTTTGACATTTCTTTAAAACTGATGACGTGTACTTTGTTGGCTATATGATTTGCACGTGTCGCGTCTTGTTTTATCAACATAATTTTATTTATATATATATATATATATATATATATATATATATACAGGGTGTCCCAAAATAATTTATACACTCTTAAAATATTAATAGTTAATAATACATTACTGTGATGTGAGAACTTATATGGATGAAAATATGCAAAACAGATGGATTGGAAGAAGAGGGACAGTTGTATACCCACCTAGATCACCAGATTTGACACCCTTGGATTTCTTTTTGTGGGGGTTTCTAAAAGACAAAGTTTACAGCAGGAAACCTGAAACAATTGCTGAAATGAGAGTAGCAATTGAAGAAGAATGTGCTCAAATACCAGAGGAAATGGTACTGGACATTTGTAGGTTTATTTCTTCAAGATATGAAAAGTGTATGGAACAGAACGGTAACCATTTTGAGCACTTGATGTGAACTCATCATTATATAAACATTCTACCATTGCCCCAAGTAGCTTTTATCTTATTAAAGTTAATTTTCTATGTTTTTTGTATATTTTACTCTCAAATTCTTTAAATGTGTATTCTTTCTCTTGTATCAATCTTATTTACAAGTCAAAATAAATAAATTGAATAAGTTATAATGATTCAAAGAGTGTATACATTATTTTGGGACAGCATGTATATATATATATATATATATATATATATATATATATATATATATATATATCTTCACAAACACACAAACACACACACACACACACACACACACACACACATATATATATATATATATATATATATATATATATATATATATATATATATATATAATCATCCACAGACAGAATGTTTCTGCTCATTAATGTGGCTAGACAAGTGATTGCTTCAAGCCGGGATTGAAATTGACATCAATCGGAGTCTCTCAGCCTTACGCTATCAGTACACGTAACGGAAAAAGGGAATTTTTAACGCAATTCCTTTCTTCCAAAGTGCACAACCTATGCTTGGGGGAGGGGCGCATATAGTCATCCACACACACACACACATATATATATATATATATATATATATATATATATATATATATATACTCTTAAGGGTGCTATATTTATGGGATAAAGTGCTCAATATCAGAGATAGAACGTGTATAAATATAAAAGTGAACATAGATTCAACACTTAGAGGTGACAGGCTGTTTCATGCTAGATGCAATCGTCAGGCCACGAGTGCTGTTATTTTTCTGTTATTTTCTTTCAAAAGGAGAAAAATAACACCACTCGTGGCCTGACGATTGTGTTCAGTATGAAACAGACTGCCGCCTGTGACTTTGTTCACTTCTATGTTCACTTATATATATATATATATATATATATATATATATATATATATATATATATATATATATATATATAAAGGGCAGATAAGTAAAGGATAAAAAAAATTGCTTACCGGAAAATGTTGAATCGAAAAATATAACCGCAAAAAGAAGTAACAAAAAAGAGCTAACGAGTTATCGATCCTCGCTCTTCAGAATCAATTAAGGACAAAAATATCCGCACAGCGACTAAAAAAGGGTGAAATGAAAAATAACTACCAGAGAATTATCACTTTTTTCTTGTTGTATTTTTCGATCCACCATTTTATGTTAAGATTTTTTCATCTCCTTTATTTTCTGTTTTATATATCTTTGTATATATTTATATATACTTTTAAGTTGTCCGTTTTTAGAGTTTTCATAACATTTTGTGCTCTCCACAAGATTATTTATATAACATTTTACCGAATGTGATCACGATAAAACGGATGTTTTTTTGTTTGTTTGGTTAAATCCTGAAGTTAAATATATTATAATATACCTGAGATGTAACGATAAACTCTATTCTAATAGTTTCTTTACTTGCACTTCTCATCTGTGGAATTCACTTCTGGTGTATTAATTCCCTGCCACCTCCTATGTTCAAAAAATTAAACGCAACGTCTGTCTTCCGTAAAACTGTTTTTCTGTTGTCCTTTTTCCTTCAGTCAGTTATATGCCATGAGTGATACACGCTTAGGCGATCATGTATCTTTCGATACATGGCTGACGAAGCATATTTTTTCTCGCAGTAGGTTGCTATTTCTTTCTGCAGTAGACCAGTTGTGCAAGGCTGTAGAATCCGGTCTGCCCTGCTATTTACCCATAGGTAAAGAAGAGGATTCATACCTTTCCCAAGGATATTAGCACGTAAGTGAATGTACTGGATTCGATTGGTATTCGAACTCGTCTCTGTCCGAGCCGTTATACATTACTCCAGTATGCCTCCATTTTTCTTACTTGTTAATGATATTATCGCCTTGTTTGGCATGAAATTATTAAAAAAAGTGAAGAAATAAGAAAACACTAATATAAATATGTTTTATTTTGATTTATTTTAAACGACGCTTTTTATCGCTAACAAGAATGTTCCTCGGGATATCTTTATTAATCTGCAAACTGTCTGATTGAAGCTTGTTATATATTTATTGTCTTAGTAAGTATCTGAGACTCTCTTACATACGTTATCATATAAGAGCAAGATAAGACCAAAAAATGGGGTAATATTGCCATATCTGGGCTGGAGCTGCACTGTCTTCACTAGCTGGTCTTGAGAGACTTTTAAAAGCATCTCGGCTGCTTTGTAGGTGGTGGGTTATTTTCCATCCTACAACCCCTTTCCCACAGACGAAATCGAGAGGATCGCTGCTCTATTGTTATTAGGTTGGTGCAAAAATAATGACGTAATAATGTCGTTTTTTGACGGTAAAAAATACGCCAAAAAACGACATTATTACGTAATTATTTTTGCACCAACCTAATACTTCCATGGCATGTGTACCGTTGACATACATTCCTCTGTCTCACCAGCCCTGACGTTTACTGCCATGCCATTGTACACAAACATTAATAACCTCCGTTCCCTTCGTATTCCAATAGTAAGAAGGAAGTTCCATCCTGGGTAAGACGATAAACTACATCCGCTTCCTGGGTAAGACGCTAAACTGCATCCGCGTCCTGGGTGAGGCGATAAACAACATCCGCGTCCTGGGTAAGACGATAAACTACATCCGCGTCTTGGGTAAGACGATAAACTACATCCGCGTCCTGGGTAAGACGATAAACTACATCCGCTTCCTGGGTAAGACGATAAACTACATCCGCGTCCTGAGTAAGACGATAAACTACATCCGCGTCAAAGTTTAGACGATAAACTACGTCCAACAGCAAGGCCTCTGATCAGAAGATTGGAACCACCTCTTAATTACTGGTGTTTCCAGGTCCACCTGTTAGGCTCCGAGCTATGGGTAAATAGTTAATCTCCAAACTGGGGTCAAAACACTATGAAAGTGTAAAAAAAGATTTTAATAACAGAAATACTTTGTAAAAAATTATTATCAGCAATAAATTTTTGAAGAAAAATTTTTACCGTCAATACATTTTTAAAAAAAAATATTACCAGCAATGCATTTTTTGATAAAAAATATTACCAGCTATACATTTAAAAAAAATACCGGCAATGCATTAAAAAAAGAATTAAGAGTAATAAAAATCTTGTCGGCATTAAATAACCCATTGAAGTTTATATACCGTAAAACAAAACAAACCAAACCAAATCAAACCAAGAACTAAGTCCCATTCTTCTTCAGAACTGCGACTTTGTGGGACAGATTCTCGGCAGGATTCTTGTCCTTTCTTACGCTCATACAGCTCCACAAAGTAACACTCTACATTGAGTGGCTCTTAGGTCTTGTATTGGGTGAACATTAGTATATAAAAAGCAATTTTGCAACTAAGTCTCGTCAACGAGATCTACATGCCTACTTATGCTTTTAAAGATAAAGAGAGACTGACAAGACGGGTATTGGAAAAAAAGAAGCATTGGTAAACGAGCCTAGGATATCAAAGTGATTCTGAACAACATTCTCCGAAGCTAAATACACTTACTTTCATAAAAGATAAAGAAAGACAGAATGACATTTTTTTACGGAAGAAGAAAAAGAAGAAAACCAGAAGATTGATGAGAGAGAGAGAAATGGAAAAAGAAATGGAGGGAGAAGGGAAGAGAGAGAGAGAGAGAGAGAGAGAGAGAGAGAAAGAAAGAAAGAAAGAAATGGAGAAAGAAGAAGGGAGAAAGAGAGAAAATGCAGAAAGAAAAAGGAAAGAGAGAATGGGCGGGATATAGAGAGAAAATGATAGACAAGAAGTTAGAAGGTGTGAGAGAAAGGAAATAACGAGAAAAAAGGAAGAATAATAGCAGAATGAATAAGCAAGCGAGAAAGAGAGGAAGGGAGAAGGAGAGAAAAGGAGGAAAAGAGATGAAAAGAGAATAAGCGAAGAAGAGCGATAGAGACAGAGAAAAAGACAGATTCAAAAAGAGAGAGAAAGAGAGATGGAGATAGAGCCGTACGTAGTGAGAGAGAGAGAGAGAGAGATGAAGAGAGAGACAAAAGGAAAGAAAAGAAAAGAAGGGAAAGGAGGAGGGAGGCTAAGCTTAAGGGATAGAGAGGGAGAAAAGAGAGAAATAAATGGAGAGAGAAAAATATGGATAGAGAGACACAGGTAGATAAATAGATAGATAGATAGATAGTTAGACAGATAGATAGATAGATAGAGAGAAAGAGAGAGAGAGAGAGAAAATGAGAGATAATGAGAGTGAGGAGTTGAGAAAATGGGGAAGAGAAGGAGAGAGGATAAGCGAGAAAGCGTGGAATGGAGATAGAGAAGAAGACGGAAGTAAAAGGCGAGAGAAAGAGAGATGGAGTTAGAGAAGCACGCAGAAAAAGTGAAAGAGGCGCAAAGAGAGAGAGAGAGAGAGAGAGAGAGAGAGAAAATAGGGATAAAGGGAGAGAAAGAGGGAAGAGGAGGAAAGAGGTTAATCTTGAGAGAGAGAGAGAGAGAGATGTAGATGGAGAAAAAGAAAGAACGGAAGAGAAGGAAAGAGGTTAATCTTGAGAGAGAGAGAGAGAGAGAGAGAAAGAGAGAGAAAGAGAGAGAGAGATGTAGATGGAGAAAAAGAGAAAGAAAGGGATTGATAAAGGGAGATGGAGACAGAGAAGCACGCAGAGAAAGACACAAAGAGATAGAGTAGATAAAGAAATGGGAGAGAGAGAGTGTGCTGGATAGAGAGAGAGATAGAGAGAAAAGTTAAGAGAGAGAAGGAGAAAGTGAGAATGGAGAGATAGATAGATAGATAGATAGATAGATAGATAGAGAGAGAGAGAGAGCGAGAGAGAGAGAGAGTAGAGAGGGATAGAGAGAGAAAGGCCAGTGGGGGTGCCAGGAACGAATTGTATATAGAAGGCAGTTGTTATAATCAGGTTTAGGTCACCGTAGTCCACTGTTCTGACTTCTACAGGCAGAATATTTGTACTAGATTTCGTTGGATATAGTCCTTTGTTATCAACGAGGAACTAAGTGTAGCTCCTGAAAGAATAGTCATAAGGTTGAGAAGGAGAGAAGAAGTGGGGCAGGGAATTTAGTGAGGCGAGTGTGTTGTGGAGGGTAGGAGAAGATTTGTACGAGGGAGATGTTTGGGTGGGTTTGATGGTTGAAGACAAGGAGATAGAGCCGAGTTGGCGCGAAGGAGGCAGGCTACACTGCACTCGAGGTATGACACGAATGTAGTTCTCGAATAAAATCACACGAGAGAAAATATAAGCGTTGCTCGTCGGGAAGGGGGGCAGCAAAGATGGCATCTCTGGTCGGAAAGAACATAAAGGGAAACGAAGAGAAAAATGAAAAAGAAAAGAAAAGGAGAGAGGAGAAATTAAAATAATGAAAAAAAGAAGAAGAAGAAGAATGGAGGAAATATGGAGAAGGAAGAAAATAAAAATAAAAGAAAGCAAAGAATGACAGTAGGAAGAAGAAACGAAAAAAGAATGAAGGATATATGTAGAAAGATGGAAAAGGAAAAATAAAAACAAAGAGATAAAGTAAAAAGTATAAAAGAAAAATACAAAAAGAATGAAGGAAATCTGGAGAAACAAGAAAAATAAAAATAAGAAAAAGCAAAGAGAGAAAGTAGGATGAAGAAAGAAAAGAAAGAAGAATGAATGAAAATGAAGAAAGAAGGAAAAGAAAAACAAGAAAAAGCAAAGAGAAAAAGTAAGAAGGAGAAAGAAAAAAGGAAGAAGAATAAAAGAAATATGGAGAAGGAAGGAAAAGAAAAACGAGAAAATGGAAACAGAAAAGTAAAAAGGAAAAAAAGGTAAAAATGGAAGAAGAATAAAAGAAATATGGAGAAGGAAGAAAAATAAAAAAAAATGAAGAAGGAAATAATGAAAGTAGGAACAAGAAAGAAAAATTGAAGAAGATTGAAAGAAAATAGAGAAAGAAAAGAAAAAAACGATTAGGAAAAAGCAAAGAGAGAACATAAGAAGAAAAGTGAAATAATGCGCAGAAGACGAAGAGAAGGAATGAAGGAAATGTAGAGAAAGAAAAGAAAAAAGAATAAGAAAACTGAAAGAAAAAAAAACGAGGAAATAATGAAAAGAAGAAGATGAATGAAGATATAGGGAGAATTAAAAAAAGAATATGAACAAAGAAAGAGAAAGTAGGTAGAAGAAAAGGCAATAGTGTGAAGAAGAAGTCAAAAAACGAAGAAAATATGAGAGTAAAGAAAAAAAAGAAATAAACAAAAGCAGAGAAAGAGAACAAAATAAAATAGGAAAAAGAAAATAAAGACTAAATAAAAAAAGGGACCAAAAATAAGACGTATATGAAACACAAAAACAGAAAGCCCCCCCCCAAAAAAAACAAAGGAATGAAACATAAAGAAAGAAATAACAAAGATGAAAAAAAAAAGAAAAAAAAAAAAGAGAGGCAATTTGTAACTCGTATTGTACGATATGTACAGTCAATTTGTAGCTAATATCTCTAATATCGATATGTAATATTCGACTATCTCACAGCACATAGAGGTAATCTTTGGAGACAGACTTGGCTAATATCTCATATACAGAGACAATTTTTGGCTAATATCGTACGATATAGACTGCTAATATCTCTAATACAGATCAGCAATCTTTGGTTAATATCTCACTCTGGAGATTGACTTGGTTAATATCTCATATAGGGAATTAATCTTAGATTAATCTTTGGCTAATATCGCACTATATAGACAGGCAATCTTTAGATCACATCTAATATAGATAGGTAACCTTTCGTTAATATATCACACTGTAGATTGACTTGATTAATATCTAATATATGGAGTTAATCTTAGGTTAATCTTTGGCTAATCTTTGTCTAATATTGCACTATATAGACAGGCAATCTTTAGCTTACATCTCTAATATAAATAGGTAACCTTTGGTTAATATATCACTCTGTAGATTGACTTAGTTAATATCCCACATATAGCGGTAATTTTGGGCTACTATTACATAATATAGAGAAGTAATCTTAAGCTAATATCTCATAAAACAGACAGGTTATATTTACCGAGATAATGTCTGGTTCTATTACACAACACATCATGTTTGGCTAATGTCTCACGATAGAGGTAAGAAATCTTTGGCTAATATATCACGATGCAAACCAGCAAGACATTGATTGACACGTTGAGGAATCATTATGAGCCGTACTAATCTTAGTTAACTAAGTATTAAAGAAACTATATATTTTGGCGAATAGATACTAAGGCTATACTTATGGAAGATCCAATGAAGTAGAATCACTGCATGTTTGGTTTTTAACCGTTTATGGTGAGTGCTTAACAGCAACTAACTTTAAAACAGTGATTATTAAACTTTTCCTCTACAGCTCTATCCAGATATGTTAAACCGTCCTGGGTATGACGATAAACTACATCTGCATCCTGGGTATGATATATAAACTACGTCCAGCAGCAAGGCCTCTGATCAGAAGGTTTTGAGGAGCGTGGAGCCACCTCTTAATTGCTGGTGTTTCGAGGTCCACCCTGAACTATGGGCAAATAGTTAACCCCAAAACCGGGGTAAAAACACTATGAAAATGTAAAAACAGGTTTTAATACCAGAAATACATTGTAAACTGAGATGGAACAAATACATTGAGTCAATTGCTTCATCCATCGCGAGGAAAGTTGGCTCCCTGTGCCGCGCCAGGAAATTTTTCTACCCGGAATCGATCCTTCAAATATACAAATCAACCATTCGCCCTTGCATGGAGTATTGCTGCCATATATGGTCTAGGGCACCTTCTGTTTACCTCGGAGTTCTTGACAAGATCCAGAGACGGATACGTAATATAATTAGCCCGGATCTGGCATCTCGTCTACAGTCACTCTCTCACAGACGCGCCGTCGCCTCTCTCTGTTTTTTCTACAAATACTTTCATGGTAATTGCTCCGATGAGCTGCTTTCACTGGTTCCCAGACTCCATGAATTCAAGCGCCCTACGAGGCTGGCATCCCGCTGTAGAAACTTTTAAATGTAGCCGTCTCTTCTACTCCAATAGCTTCATACCTCGCACCTCTCGCCTGTGGAACACCCTTCCCAATTACTGTTTCCCTGGGAGCTATAATCTCCAACTATTCAAATGTAATGTCAATCGACATCTCCAGTTACCTTGATCTACCCACTATCCTTCTCCTCATCCTTTCTTCTATCACTCCTATCTGCTCTTGCTCCTAATCTTCTGCAACCCACTGCATCCTAGTGGCTTCACACCTTGCTGGGGGCGTAATGCTTAACCCCCCAAAAAAAACCCCCAAAAACAAAAGAAAACATTATTATCAGCAATAAATTTTTGAAGAAAAAAAAATTATTTCCAGCAATATATTTTTGAAAAATAAAATATCAACAATACATTTAAAAAAAAAAAAAATATTACCAACAATACATTTTTGAAAAAAATTATTACCGATAATACATTTTTGAAGGAAAAAAACTATTACCAGAAATAGATTTTTGACAAAACAAAATATTACTATCAATAAAAATTTTGTCGGCATTAAATGACCCAGTGATGTTGATATGCCGTAAACCAAACCAAACCAAACCAAACCTGAATGATAACAGGCAGGATTTCCATCATTCAGTTGCCATTTCTTAATCAATTTTGTGATCAAGATATTTATATTCAATTGTTCTTCTCTTGTAAAAATATATTATCAGTAATACATTTGTGAAAAAAATATTACGATCAATAAAAATCTTGTTGGCATTAAATAACCCTTTGAGATTGATATGTCGTAAAACGAAACAAACCAAACCACACCTGAATGATAACAGGCAGGCTTTTCACCATTCAGTTACCAGATCTTAATAAATTTTGTGATCAATAAATTCAATTGTTCTTGTCTTGTAAAATATATTAGCAGCAATACATTTTTGAAAAAAATATTACGAGCAATAAAAATCTTGTCGGCATTAAATAACCCATTGACGTTATGTTGATATGCCGTAAAACAAAATAAACCAAACCAGATATGTTAAAATTGCACTAGTAAATGAAGCAGAATTATGTAATGTGTTAATGCCTCTTGTTTAGGTCTCCTTGCATTATAGCAGCGCCAGTCATCGGACCAAAGCGGTTGCCGCCAAGTCAGATGTTAGAAGAGTTGTATAACCCCTTCTTCCGGGGTTCTCTTTTGGTTGACGGCCTTGAGTCACTCATATGTTGCATTCTTCTCTCTGGCATCTTTCGGCCGGGTGTCCAAATGTTTTTTGGGGTTCGATATTAAAATGAGAAATTCAACAAAAGGGATTTTTAAACTTATCTATTTTATTGACACATCGAGGTCTACTTTTTTTTTTAACTAGACAATGGGGTCGCAATATCACCCCCACTGGGGAGCAAGTTCCCCGAGACACGAAATAACCACGGTTATGACGTGTAAAGAAAATAACTCCCTGAAAACACTTCTATCTCTCTAACCTTGCTAAGCTAGTTTTAACCAATCAAAAAAGAACTTCCTTTGTTTTGTCTATCATCTGAACTTAAGGTCAGCCTCTGAAGATATGAGCCAAAATACACTGCCACTAAAAAATAATAATAGGAAACTATTATTTAACACGATTAGTTATCACTCCGGCGATCTAACCATAAGTGTCGAGTTCGAATCTGATTACGGTGGATTTGTCCGGATGGTGACTTCTTGATGTTATTGGTTAGTAGTATGCGATCATAGCTTCTGGCACCTTTGTAAAGTGCCTGAAAAACCATACAACGGGTTGACCCAAGCCTTGTGTATGAAATTGGGTAGACGGAACATTTTATTCATCTGAAATGGTACAGGTCCGAGTGTTGCATATCCCTTTCGTTCTGGAGATGGTCCCATATGTTGTATTCTTCTCTCCGTCTTCTTCTGGTCGTCTTCTCCCAGCCGGATGATCGCTAGTTATTCGTACGTAAAATGAGAACTTCAACAAAAGGGATTTTAAACTTATCTATTTTATTAACAGGTCAGCGTCTACATTTTTAACTGGGAAGTGGGGTCGCGCTATCACCCACTCCGACTGGGGAGAGTTTCCCCAGGACACGAAATAACCACGTCTGATCTATTCGACGCGTAAAACTTAACTCGCTGAAAGTACCAATCAATATCGTGATCCCTATTTTGTCTAACAGTTGACCCCAAGGTCAGCCTCAGAAGATCTGAGCCAAAAATACTGCCACTAAAAAGAAATAATAGCCTGAAACTATTATTTAACAGAATCACCCGGGTTCATTTCGAGGTGGTGTAATGGTTAGCAAGCTAGATTAATTGCGACAGCGAAATCAGTTCGATCCTCGCTGGGTGCTCCACATTTACTACCTTCTGCCACATCTATGCCACGCTTAGAAAGTCATTTGGGAGAATCTAAGTGGAACTTTTTTCTTATATTTGAAACACAGATAAAATGAACGTAATACGACTCCACGGAAGGGGGGCAATCTGAAAAGTTACCATGGAAATAGCGGAAAAGTATGACGTAATAATGTCGTTTTTGACGTATTTTTTAACGTCAAAAAACGACATTATTACGTCATTATTTTTGCACCAACCTAATAGTAACAGACTCTCTAAATTGAGTCTGCGTGTAAAAGTCATTTGGGCACTTCGACGTAGTGTAATGGTTAGCAAGCTAGATTAATTATGACTGCGTAATGAGTTCAATCCTCACTGTGTGCTCCATACTTGTGACATATCTAGGCTATACTAAGAAAATCGACATGGAAGTACCATTTTTCGTTTTTACATATATCATTAAAAGCGTCATGATCTGAAAGACATTTTCGTCTTTAACTCTCGAGCAATTAGTATAGCTATGGATGGATGTATTTCATATGGCCATTAATTGTAAAATAGAATATTATTGTATCTTACTCATATTGAATTACAATAGTAAACTTCGATCGTGTTTTTTTTTTTTTTATCAGATCGCCCCAAGCAAGGCGGGAATGCCACTAGTACACAAGGGTGGTATAGCGAATGAAAGTGAAAGAGAAGACTGAGAATAGAGATGAGGAAAAGACAAAAGATGAACGAAAAAAAAAAAGAAGACAGAGGATGGCGATTGACGTTGCATTTAAATTTTTAAAGATTGTAGTTATCAGGGAAGGAAATAAACGAAAGGGAGTTCCACAGCTTGGAAGTTTGAGAAAAGAAACTCTTGACGTAGAAGTGGCACTTGCATTTAGCTATTTCAACAGTAGAAGAGTGGGACCTAAATGCCAATCTAGTAGCACGCTTAAATTCATGTAATCGGGGCACTGGTCAGATCAGTTGCCATGAAAATATTTGTAGAAATGATAAAAAGAAAAGTAATATTTAAAATCATTTCAATGTTAATAAGTTTTGAATAAGTATGCTTCAGAATAACAACCGAGCGATAATTTTTTTTTAATCGAGATAACCCCATGTAAGGCAACAAAGCCACTGAGACAAAAGGGCTTACTGAGTGTGGAAGAGTTAGAAACAGAAACATTACTAAGGATCGAGAACAAAAGAAGAGTAACTAGGGAAACAGTAGATAGCGATTGACATTGCATTTAAATTTTTGTAGGTTAAAGTTTCCTGGAAACTATGGAACCAGAAGAGAGTTCCACAAGCGAGAAGTGTGAGAAAAGAAATTCTTAGCATAGAATTTACGGCTAAATATAGCCAAATCAATTGTAAATTGATGAGACCTCATCGCCAGTCTAGTAACGCGCTTAAATTCGAAGCGTCTAGTCACCATAGCGAAGAGCTCACACGAACAATTACCATGAAAGTATTTACAGAAAAGTCACTGGAGGTAACTTAACATCGGTGGGAAAGTGACTGAAGCCGAGATGCCAGAACAGGGCCAAGAATATTACTGAGTTTTCTTTATCTTACATATTCAAGGATTTATGTTCAAATGGTACTGCTACATTGTTTGGAAGAATGGACGATTTCTTGTACCGCTCCAAGAAGTAGTTAACACTTACTGCTAGGATTTGTCTTTACAAGAGCCCCAAAATGGAGCATTGCTGCCATATCTGCGCTGGAGTTGCTCACTCCTCGCTTTGCAAACCCACTATGTCTTCTTCCCAACTGAACAATGGTGAGAGGAAAAAGTTCATTCAGGCCTTCAGTAATGGTACCAACATTCATACCCTGGCTTCCATCTTAAAAGTTCATTCAAGAACCATCAAGAGAATGGTGAATAAGTTTAAAAAAAGTAGGGAACAGTAGAGATGAAAACTCAATCAGGAGGTCACAACAGCAAGAGGGATCATCATTTCAACTTAGAGCTAAATACATTCTTATTGTTCAAAGTAGAGTCCAATAGTGTTATAAAAACCTTGGAGAATTCCAATAAGATATCTTTAATCATTTCTAAGGTACAACAGTTCAAAACTTTATCTAACAATTAGACAATGTTGCTGTTACACGATTTGGACAGTTTTGCTGTTACACCCGGTGGATCATGATACGAAATATATGATGGCATCAAATATATCATAATGTTATATATATAATGGTATCAAATATATCATAATGTTATATATATGATGATCTCAAATATAGAATAATGACATATATGATGATGTCAAATACAAAGTACTTGAAAGATATATAAAGATTCACGTGACGTGTCGTTGTATTGGATTGCAATGCTAATATACGGGTATAAATTTATATAGAAAATGCATCAAATTTTAGTAATAAAGTAAGTTAATGGTTTTTATACTAAATATGCTTTCTTCTTTTATGAGACGGAGGATTTCAGGATGTAGGCGATCATGGTTCTCCTTTTTCTTTCTCGTTGCTCTAAGCAACATTTGTATTTTTACTGTAGATCTTTATTCCGCTCTACCAATTCATTATGCCCAAACAAATTAAGTGTGGTTACACGCTGTTAGACTCGGTACTTTCTTACTTCAAAATGTCATGTGAGGGGTAAAGTTGCCAAAAACTTGTAGTTTTAAACGATTTAAATAATAAAAAACGATTTAAATGAAAACGATTTAAATAATAAAAACGATTAAATGATAAAAACGATTTAAATATTAAAAACCAGGGTAAAAAGATCACAAAGTTTGAGAGAAAGAAAACGAAAGAATGTTTCTTAGGAAAACGTAAAAACAAAAATGATATGATAGAAAAAGAAGTTTTTGGGTTTGGAAGTCGAGAAGAAGAAGAAGAAGAAGAAGAAGAAGAAGAAGAAGAAGAAGAAGAAGGAGGAGGAGGAAGAGGAGGAGGAGAAGAAGAAGACAAGAAAAAGTAGAAAAAGAAGACAAAAAGGAAATGAAAAAGAAGATGAAGAAAAAAAAAGAAAAAGAAGGAAGAAAAAGAAGAAAGAAAAAGAAGATGAAAAAGAGGGGGAAAAATAAGAAAAGTAGGAGAAGAAGAAAAAAGAAAAAGAAGAAAAAAGAATATGAAAAGGAGGAGGAAAAATAAGAAAAGTAGGAGAAGAAGAAAAAAGAAAAAGAAGAAAAAAGAATATGAAAAGGAGGAGGAAAAAGAAGAAAAGTAGGAGAAGAAGAAAAAGAAGAAGAAAAAGAAAGAAGAAAAATATAGAAAAAGAAAAAGAAAAAGAAAGAAGTAAAAGAAGTGGAAAAAGAAGATGAAAAACAAGAAAAAGATGACGAAAAAGAAGATGAAGAAGATAAACGAGAAGAAGAAAAAAGAAGTGGAAAAAGAAGATGAAAAGGAGGAGAAGAAGAAAAAGATAGAAGAAAAAGTAGAAAAAGAAGAAAAAACGAAAAAAGCTTAAGCTGAGAAGGAATTGAAAAATAAAAATAACAGCCACTAAAATGGATTTAAGGAAATATTGTATTTAATTCGACCGACGTTCTCTTCTTCCAAGTTTCGTATTTTCTGATTCTAATCAATCTCAAATTATTGATAAATAAACGATGATTGCAGAAAAAACAAACTTCCATTGATAAATCCTGAATACTTTTAAAATTTGGCACCAGTTTTTATTTACTCAACTGCAGTAGAACTTTGGAAAGTTCTATAGCCAAATGCACCCAAATAGAAGAATGATTGAAATTGACTTCCCATGAACGACAGATGTTGCTTTAATTTCTGACGCAGTTGAGAAACAATTTTGAATAATAGCCAACAATCTCCGTAGGATAATGCGAACCTAATGTTATTTTGCGTTTCTATCTCCAAAGTCGTGTTTCCGTGAGTATTTCAGTTCGTCAGTTGCATAAAATATTGTCTGAAATTCAAAAACAAGGCCTACTAATTATTTAAAAACAAGGGCCACTACTTCAAAGTCTGAGTTGATAGCAAAAACGTCTGTTCTTGTTGGCGAGACCTACACAAGAATGACAGTGTCGGCTGCAGCCATTGTATCTGAAGGTTTTTTTTTTCTCTTGTATTGTCTTGTCCTATCGGTGGGGGGTTAGACTCAGTGGATTGCATCACCTGCAGAAAGGTAAGACTATATCCAAAAAAAAAGTCATCTTCTAGATGGATACTTGCAGAGTCGGCTATAAACTGTGCCAAGTATATGTGGACTCAAATGTAAAGCCAAGCTATGTCTACCCTTTTGGATTCAAGTGTAAACTGGTCCTATGTATACCTTTCTGGATATAGCATAAACTGGACCCAGATCTTAATTTCCAGTCTCGATAGAGTCTAAAAGCGTCTTCACGTCCTTGTATGTGACAAATTATTTTCCACCCTACACCTCCTTTCCTCACATACGAAAAATCTCACGCCCCATACTCGCTATTTCCATGGAAAGTGCTCTGACGAACTACCTTCCTTAGTTCCACCAGTTCTTACTTTCACGGCTAAGACTCGTCATGATACGCACATTGTAGCGGACCACCTTCATTCCCTTCGTATTCCATTGGTGAGATGTAATTTCCACTTGAGCAGCTTCTTCTTACCAACTGCTGCTTTGTGGAACTGACTCCCAAGAAAATGCTTCCCCGATCACCAAAATCTTTACTCGTTCAAGTCTAGGGTTAACCGTTCTTTCTCCCCCGCATATCTGCAAAAACTGTACGTCTTATTCTGTAACCCTCCACCTCGAGTGGCTCTCGGGTCTTGTATAGGGTAAATGTTGAAACTTGACTAATGCATGGAATAATAAGGCAACACAAATTGTACTTAGAACAAAATGTATTGAAACAAGAAAGTGTACACAATATTTACATATAGTCTTTTGTATATTCCTGGTAAGACCGTTCCTGGAGAATGTGTTGACTGAGTCGCAGTCGGGCAGAGTTCCTGGATGAATCTCTTGATTCCTCCCTCTCTTCCCGGCACCAACCATATTTATATGGTCGGTACTCCACTATGCAAATTAGGTGGATCCTACCACAACAGTAAACATCAGTGGAATGATGCAATGAAACAGTTGCCATTAGTTTGTATGGGAGATTTTAGTGGGAATTTCTAGATGCCGCAGAAGTAAGTGAGAGTTTCCCTATCATTGTTAGATTGGATTGTTCCATCTTTGATACATCTTTGAAACGAAAACATAGTCGCCCTTGTGCTTCTTACTGCTTTTTTTTTTTTTTAATTCGGTCTGTTTGCTAGTCCGCCGCAGCCTGTCTTCAATCTTTTGAACGCGTTGAAAGACGAAAGGCCAGCCAACCTTCCGTCGGGAGGGAATCTGCTTAATATTCTCGAACCCATACTCGGAGAGTGGCGGCGCTGCTGATGTTGGTGGTGTCGCGTCGCACTTCGGGCGAAAATGTGGTAACGAGAACGAAGACGTCACCGAGAGCTCCGGGAAGTGTTCTCTCTTCTTTGTATCCATGGAACCGGCTCGTCCGGAGATATGGAAAAGGTGCCTCTAGAGTGCCGCTGCTCAGGTGGCGTTCGGTGCGCTTTCGGCGTCTCTCGAAAGCCGGACTCTTTACATCAGACATAAGATGCGAGCTGGTTGAGCAAAGTAAAGTAGTTGGGTGTCTGGGCGCAGGCCAGGGTCTTGTTATTGGTATATAGGTCAGTTTACATGGTGTTCTGGAGGCGTCTCAGTTTCAGAATGGGGAAGCCATTGATATACCGCCCTTATCTGGAATAGAGGATCTATGTTTTATTCAATTATTACAGTGTGTTGAATAACATCGACCCTGTAGGCCGTAATCTTATAAACTGTAAACGCGTAGACTGCCATCAACTCATTGTGGTGGTGCGTAATAATTTCTTCAAGTTGATGACCAAGTTGAAATCCTGAAGAGTTACATAAAGCACTGGGGCTGCACTTCAGTGTGTGTTACTAAATGCACATTGTTTACAAACAATGTATCCTTCATGAGATGCACTACAACTTTAGCGATTTAGTCTAGCAGATTATTAGAAGTGAGCTCGATTCTCATTGGCTATTTCAACACTAAACAAAGCTGAGCATTTTAAAGTGCACCCCGGTGTGAGGTAATATTTAGCGAGCGAGTCTGATTGAATATTACGATTAAGAAGTGATATAATGGAATACGCGTACACCTGTGTTCCCCCTCACTGGAGTATGATTGGCTGGTGTCCGTCATAAATACCGATGGACGTGTAGGAGAGTCAAGAGCCTTAATCTGAGAGCTAAGTCTATAACGACGCCCATTGGACTACGCCATTGATCTACACTTCTTACCTGCAACTATAACGTGTACCAGTCGATTATTGCTACCGTATTCTACTTGGTTATAGTAGCCAAAACCACTTAGCTAACTCAATTAAATATATCCCTTTCCGGGACATATCAACAAGTGATGTCGATTTTCAGTGAGTGTTCCGAACTATTGGAATTGAGCAAAAAAAAAAAAAAAAAAAAATAAAATAAAATAAAATAAAAATAAAAAATAAAAAAATAAAAATAAAAGCAACACTTCGTAAATAACAATAATTTCGGCGTAGGGATAATTGTTAGCCAGTCAGTAGGGTTGACTATTAGGAATGACTTGGGATTTTGATCCTTACTGAGTGCCTCAAAATTGTAACCTTATGCCAAAACTAACCCAAGCTTAGTATATAACAAAGGCACTTTAACGTGAGGTAATGGATAACGGACAAGTCTGGCTGAGCATAACTACAGAGTAGTGAATTCGATCCTCATCGGCTATACTTGTAGCCTTGTGCCAAAACTAAGTTAAAGCACCTGTGGGGAACATCTGACAAACTTTCCTCACAAGCTGAGACGGACTGTGGAGATTTCCATCTGCCTCCAGTTGGAGGCACACACCATCAGTTGATGTTCCAAAAGCGTACAGTATGGTTGTGAAAAAAAAAATGTGAAAAGGGATCAGTGCAAGAAAATATCGCACCAAATGTTGAAGGCGTACGATTAATGGCCGGCAGAGTGTGAAAAACTTCAATACACAAATAATATAGAATGATTTAAAATGTTAAGTTTTAGAGTAAGGACAGCACCGGCCAATAAGAGTAGAAACAATGCAGCGGAAGCAGATTGAATTATGATAGAAAAGTTATCAGACTGAGACGATTTCAACATGAACAAAATTACTGAAATAATAGATGAAATATACGACAGTGGTGAAACACCGGAAGATCTTAGTAATTAGGCTCTTTCATAAGGTTGCTTAGGAAACGGTGAAAATAAATGCAAGTTCCGTCTAAAAATCATCCTAATGTGCCACAAAATCAAACTTTTTATCAGAATTCTGATGAATAGACTACTTGGTAGAATTAAACCGAAAATAGGAAAAGAATGGTTTCGTTAGAGATACGGGGACAAGAAATACGATATTTATTATCAGAATGAGGGAGAGAGCAATACAAACGCAGAAGGATGTATACCTAAGTTTTATAGATTATACAAACTCATTTGATAAGGTACGACACAAAGAATTATTTGAACTGCTAGGAAAAATATTTAGGAAAGATATTAGAATAATCAAGAACTTATTTTGGGGAATTACCATCCGCATACGGACAGAAAATGAATAGAAAATGGCGTATCAAGACTGATTATCATTGTTATATTCAGGGAATTGATATTGCAATATTCAATCGCAAAAATAAAGGACTAATCCTACAATAAAAACATATTTCGATTTTAAATAAGCCACAAGATACTGATAAGCGGTAATTAAACGAATTAACTGCAATTGTCAAACACGCTTCAGTTTCCCTTCTTTTCTTACTATGGTGGCAAAATATCTGAGTCTGGCATATTCTGCACACTGCTCTTTCATACCAGATTCGTGCAGGTGGTTAAGCCGAACGGTATTCACTTTTGGAAAGGTTACGGTGAAATACCCGTTTTCAGACAATAAACATGCGTCATTTATTGAATGAACAGTTAGTGCTACTGTCGGTTGATTAGCCGTTTTCAGTCAAGAAACATGCAGCATTCATTGAACGAACAGTTAGCACAACTGTCGGTTGGATAGCCGTTTTCATGCAAGAAACATGAGTCATTTATTGAACGAACAGTTAGCGCTACTCTCAGTTACATAGCCGTTTCCATACAAGAAACATACGTCATTTATTGAACGAACAATTAGCGCTACCGTCGGTTGGATAGCCGTTTCCATACAAGAAACATGCGTGATTTATTGAACGAACAGTTAGCGCCACTGTCGGTTGATAAGACGTTTTCATCCAGGAAACATGTGGCATTCATTGAACGAACAGTTAACGCTACTGTCGGTAGGATAGCCGTTTTCATACAAGAAACATGTGTCATTTATTGAACGAACAGTTAGCGCTACTGTCGGTTGGATAGCCGTTTTCATGCAAGAAACATGTCATTTATTGAACGAACCGTTAGCGCTATTGTCGGTTGAACCTAATAAGATGTTTCTCTTAAAACAGATTTTCAGGAAAATACGTTTCCAAAATACACTGTTATCACTCTTTTTAGTATTGACGGGAGTTTCCTTCCTAACCTTTTCTTTCAGGCAGTCTGGAAGGTCAACATTTTGATTATGTCATTATTTTTTATTCGAACTAAATCCACTATCCATTTTATTTGTTGCCGTTTTTGAAAGTCTTCAAGTGATTTCTCTGTTATTTGATAAAGTTCTTTGTGATTCTGTAGCGCCAGTGTACGATATGTAATGAAGGGTTGCATTCTTGAGGAACTACAGTTTTCATTCGCTTGACGCCATTTTAATCATTGATCTGGGAAAATAGTTGTATATTTTTTTTCACTCCAATCAAGGTGGGAATTCCCATAGTACGCGAGGGGTACAGGGAGTGAAAGTGTGAGAAAAGACCGAGTATAAGGAGAGTTGAAGAAAGGACAAAAGATGATTCACATTGCATTTAATTTTTTAAAGATTGTAGTTATCAGGGAAGTAAGTAAACGGAAGTGTGTTCTACGAGCAGGATGTGCAAGAAAAGAAACTATTTTTAGTAGAAATGGAGGATCACTGTAGTTATTTCAACAGTAAAAGGTTGGGACCTAGATGCCAATCTAGTGGCTCGCTTAAATTCATGCATGCATGGCATCAGGGAAGATAGCTCGTCAAAGCAGTGGCCATGAAAATATCTGTAGGAAAGGCACGTCATGATGGCGAGAAAGTGACTGAAGTCGAGATGCCTAGTCAGGATCGATCTTGTTTGGGATTTTGTCAAGAACCCCGAGATGAATTACCGGAAAACCAGATGTTAGTGTAAACATTTCTGAAGAAGCTGGGTGCCGTGCATGACATCCATATGCTAGTCTAGATCTTCAGAGATTATTTAATAACATGAATCCAGGTCTTTAAGGCCAGTAGGGTTCATTCGCCAGAAGCCATTTTTAATCTTTGATCTGGGAAAATGATCGTAGATAGCTGATCGTTTAGAAATTTCAGAATGGTTTAGATGCCATACGTGACATCCATATGACAGTCTAAATCTGCCGAGGCTGTTTAAGAACATAAATCGAGCTATTAGGTTCGGCACCTTCCCAGTCGGTAGGCGGTTGATAGTTTTTCGCGGCTATTCGGCAGCCGGTAATCCGCTCAATTCTTTCATAATAGCCAACTGATATCGCCTTTGTTATACGATAACTGAATGTTTTGCGTACCTAAAGCCAGTAGTCATGTGCGCAGCGTCTAGCTGTTTTCTGCGCCTTGATTCTTGCCCTCTTTCATATTTGCAGCTTTACCTGGGTGGAATCGTATTTGTGTTCTCGCAGTGCAACACATTATACCTCGATGACAGCGTTGAGTTTACTTTTCTCACTTCAAAAACAATCCTCTTGTTTCGGCCCATTTATTCCCGAAGTCCTTAAGTACATTGCTGCATAAATAGTGTGCCTGGGCATCTCCTTCTATCTAGTGACAATTTAATTTATCTTCTTGCTAAATTTTACTGGTATCGATATGCTGCTTGCCTACCGGCTTAAAGATCGAAAGTCCATTATTTACATTATTTGGACTATTGTCCTCATCTTTATCGCCATATTTATTACAACATTTCGGCTGTTGTACGCTCCGGCCTTCTTCAGTTTGTTGGAATGTATATACAAGTATAGGTTTGGTGTAGATGGAATAAAATTCCGAATACCAAAAACGCTATTCTTAAAAGAGTGCTCAATACAAAGTAGATCAAATAGTATTTATTCAAAAATAATAACATAAACTTGTTATAACATCACTACAAAAATAGCCATTTTGTTTCAACACTTCTGGTGGCTTGTGATGATGTTAAATCAAACATCATCACTTGAGAAGACACCAGAAGTGTTGAAACAAAATGACTATTTTGTAGTGACGTTATAAGACGCTTATGGCATAATTTTGAATATATATATATATATATATATATATATATATATATATATATATATATATATAATCCGAGAAAGAAATA